GACAGCCATCATCATCATCAAAACAAATGATGTAATAAAAATTTTCATTTTCTTTGATTTTTTTTTTGAATTTCGTTGTTTGATGAAAATTCTTCGATGAAAATGATGAAACAAAATGATCGATTTTCGTTGTTTTTATACAATATTAACCTGTTATCATATCGCCTTAACACTTTTGCTACCGATGATGCTAATCATCATCATCATCATTTCATTGCTAAAATAGATACATGGCCATGGTCATACGATTGATTGTATTGATCATTGAGATCGATCGATCGATCGTTCAATCATAGCCTCAATCAATTTATCTGTCTGTTTTTTTTTTGTTGAATTATGATGACAAAGCTGAATTTCTGTTGTTGCTAAATTATTCAAAATTAAAAAGAAATTCAATTTCTGTGTTTGTTTGTTTTTTTTCGAAATTTCTAGCAAACAAGAAATAAAATTTGAATCATCAATAGCCAAAACCAACCTAAAAAAACTGGCTTACTATGCGATATATTATCCTTTACGAATCAAAATCATTTCATTGATAATTTTAATCGAAATGAAAGAAATGAAATAAAAAAATATCGCAATCATCCATTTTAATGGAAGATTTTCCGTGGTTATCATCTTTTTGTTGCTGTTGTTGTTGTTGTTGTTGTGGGGGTGTTTAATCGAATAGCAAAAAAATGTACAGGAAAAATGACAACCATAACAACAATCATATAATCAATGAATTTTCCATTGTCTTTAAGCATTTCAAACAATCAAACATATATTCCTCCATCTTGACAACAAAACAAAACAACCAAAAGACGACCACTATTTTCTCTATTTTTTAAAAAACATAATTTCATTGTGTGTGTGTGTCTCGCATAATAGATGATGATTTTGATGTGTCCAGGCTATGATGATGTGAATTTTTGATGATGATGATCATCATCATTATGATTATAGTGTGATGATAATGAATTCTTTCATTCATTCATTCATTTCAAACGAATGGAACAAAACGATTTTTCTCTCTTTTTTTTATATGTCCTTGGCTAGAACAAGTTTGAGCTTTTTCAATCAAACAAATATCATCATCATCATCATCATTGTTTGGGTTTGTTTTTTTTCTGTCATGATTGAAAATATCAATAAATCAATTGATTTTGGCTACTACACTTGTTGAATTCTAATATTATTTTTTTCATAATTTTTTCAATCAATTCATCATTTTTCGTTTCATTCGAAGGATTCGTTGCTATGGACATCTTTACATATTGATTCTCATTCGAAAATGTGTATATTCTGGTTGTTGCCAGGCAGGCAGGCAAGCATCATCATTATTGCTTGATTGGCCACTTGGTTTAGGCTTTTTTTCTTTTACTGGCTATTTTTAGCATTCGATTCAAGGATGCCACACAAAAAAAAATAAGAGTGGAAAACAAAATTATCAAACAATTTTTTAAATCGATAAGAATAATTCGGATGATTCAGCTGGTTATTCGGATGATTTTTTATTTGTTTATTTTTCCAAAAAAAAAAAATTGTTATCAATGAAAATATAAATACAAAACAAAATTTGAAAAAAACATGATAATAATCCAATGCAATAATATCTCTTGTTTACGATTGAAATAGTAATGATTATCGAGAAGTTGAAATGCATGAAATTTGTTTTTTTTTATTTTATTTTTTTTGGATTGAAATTATAATCTTTGTATTTCACCCAAAAATAATATCTGTCCAGATTGAATATGATTGATAAAAAATATGAATGGATGATCAAATTTTAATACAGGTAATGATTGTCGTTTTTCAACAATAATTTTATCCATTGTATGTAAATCATAAAATGAATCATCATTTCCTATACCATATTCATTCATTTGTATTTGTGATTGATGATAAATACGATCAATCCATTCATTGGTTTTTTCATTATTATCATCAGTTAGATTCGAACGATATGGATGAAATAAATCATTGATACCCATTTCTTCGAAATCATCGACAAGATTTTCATATGTTATACATAAATTCATACGTGGTAAAAATAAAGCAAATTCAGTTGCAAATGTTTGATTTAATTTTTCAATTAAATGATATAGATACAGTGATGATAATGATCGATGAATACGATTTAAATCCATTTCGATTAATCTGGGTAGAATACCGATAAATGAAAAATTTTCATTCAAAAATTTTATCATAATCATATCGGCATCCATATCGGGTAGATATAGATGTGGAAATAGACCATTTTTAAACATATATTGTATATTTGAATATTTTTCACCATTCCAACTATGAAAATAACCAATTTGTGTTTGTTGTTGATCAAATGATTCTAACCATTTTGTTTGAAATGTTGCCATATTAATCAAAGCAATTGGTTTTCTATCATTATCACCGATATTATCATAATCATTGATCGACGTAAGATTGAACGAATGTAACGTCGTTATCAATTTATTGATCATAGCATTCGGTAAGACCAATTGATTGATTTGATTTTTCAAATCTTCCATATCATTCATCATATTGATAATGTTCGCTTGATAATTTTCTTCCATAAATATTTTGTAATCTGGATTTGAATTTTCAGTTGAATTTATGGCCATTAAATTCAGATAAATCCAATTTGTTTCATTCAAATTATTTTGAATCGTTTGAATTGCATCGATAATATTATTAGCACAAGGTGATTCATAAAAATTTAAAACATTTTCCATTTGATATTTTGTATTTCCTTGTGAACGGGCATAAATCATTGATAATGATATTTCCAATATTAATGGTGAAAAAAGAATGTTCTCTTTTTGTTCATTATTTTTCACGGATAATTGTTGTAGAAGATCAAAACCAAATTGATTAGATGCAATTGTAAATGCTAAAGCAATTGATTCATGATTAATGGCGCGGACCGTCCAAAATGTTTGTCCGATTAGCAATGTGGTCAAGATTAATTTCGTCATTATCATCATCATCATCATCGATCGGTTGTTGGATATCAAATGAAACAAAAATAGAAAAAAGAATGCTAATTTTTTTAAAAAAACAACGCGTGATTATTTTAAATTGATACGCATTTATTTATTTATTATGATTTTAATCAGAAAAAAATACATCATGTTTGACAAATTGACATTTAAAAAAATAACATTGTTAATCAATGTTGATGATTATCAGAATCACAACCAAATGGATCAGATTTATAATCAAGTATTTTAATGGCTGATTCTCGTATCAATGCAAGAAAATCGGATAAATTTTCCTGTGTAAATGTTGTATGTAAACGTTGATTTTCATCTGCAACTAAATCAGCAACACGTAAACATTGTTGATGATCACCTGAATCACGATATACTGAATGTAATAGAAAACAAAATTGTGGTATATAGATTCGTCGTATGCCATCCATTTGTCCTGGTCGACAATTTTGCCATTCATTACGTTTACGTTCCAATTGTTGTCGAATGACCAATTCATGTTCTTTACACATACCAATACTATTAATTGTCATCAATGATTGTGCATCATCATTATCATTATAATCATCATCATCAACAGCTTCTGAATGCATTTGTTGTTGTTGTTGTTGATCATTTCCAGCGATAACAATCTCTGTTGATAAAACTGATGGTGCTTCTTCACCGGCTGTTGCTTCAGCAATCGAAATCTGATTACGAGATGAATGAATATCATTCGTATCGATTGTTTGACGATCTTGATTCATATAGATTTCTTGCATAACATTTGAATCGACAACATCTAACCATATACCATTTGGAAAGCAAAGAAAAGCCAATAATTTTTTTGTAGTATTTGAAGCTTGAACATTAAGCTGATTACGCCATATTTCCATATCTTGTTCAAATTGTTTTTGTCGTTGTTCATAAAGTACACGATCGGCAATACGATTGATTGGTGTTTTTGGTTTAGTTGGTTCACGTGGTTTTGTTGTATAAAGAAAATGATGCCTATTTAAAAAGGAAGAAAAAGTTAAATTTGTTTAAAAAAAGAATCAATCTTACCATTTTTTAAATGCTTCATTAGCTTCAAAATATGATGAATGACAAAGATATTCACGTATAACATTTTCAATATCAAATCCATAATCAAAATTTAATGATAATTTCCATTCATTATATGATTCATTTATTATATTCGATGGTAATTTATTAAATGTTTCAAATGCTAAATCAATTTTTTGTTCTAATAAAAAATTTCTAATCAATGCATTTGCTTGCCATAATAATTCTAAATATTGTGGATTATCACCATCCAACAGTAACCAATCTAATGAATTAATTTTTCGAATATCATCTTCAGTAACAGTATTTGATAATAATTTAGCAATTTTTGATTTTGATTCATCAACAACAGAACGTTCATCAATATTTTTCATATTATCCGATTGAAAATGACCAAAATTAGCAAATGGTATGGATTTTGCATTCAATAATTGATAACCAGTTTTATTTAAACGAATATTTTCAATAACCATTGAAAGAATAGCCGATAAATTTAATTTAGCATTTTTAGCAATAATCAAACAAAGACGACGATCAGATTCATCATCAATTGTTTCCAATAATGTAGCAAATGTTCGAACTTGTTTAGTTTCAGGTAGAAAACTAGTATAGAATGCAATCAATTCAACTAATTTATATTCGATTAAAAATCCAATATAAATTTCTAAAATTTCTACACATAATATCGAATGACGTTCAATGTTGATTAGGTTTAATTCTTTCAAACAGATAACAATATGTGCAAACAAACGTAATAGATTTGGTTCAATAATTTTAACCATTAATTCTTCTTCCATATCACGAAGTTTATTCCATGATGATCGTGATATTTGATCGGCAATCATTTTTGTTCGTGATTCTCTATTTGTTTGTATTGTTTTTGACCATTCATATAAATGATCAACAAGTGAATCAATATTTGATAAAATAATATCTTTAACAATAGCACGATAACATTCTTCTTCTAATCTTGTTATAAATGATGATGTTTGTAAATTAAATTGTGTTTCTAATTCACGAAAAATTTCATCTGGTGTAAGACGATTATCCCAATAAGAATCTGGTAATTCAATATTACTTCTTGGTTGCATATCTGGTTTAGAAATATTTGTATCGATTAATAAATTTTCTAAATGTACATCAAGTGAACATTTAAAATATGCCCATAATTTATCCATCCATTTATTACATAATGGCATCAATACTGAACGATTTCCACTGAATGTAGAAAAAATTGCCCGTTCATAAAGATTTGTACCATCCATTTTTGAACATTTCCATGATGAAAGTTTCCACAGATCACGATATGGATTACCTTCAATTGGTGCTAATTGTTTAACTGTTGATGAATATTGTGATGCGATCGATATTCGACTATTCGGTGATGATGATGTCATTAATTGATCATTTTGTTCATTATTTAATTGTTCAGATTTTTCATTATAATTTCGATCATTATGAAAAATCCAACCTTCCAATGCAGCCGATAGCCAAAAATAACCAAAACGTTCGGCAATTTCTTTTCCTTCAGGTAGCCGACCGGATCGAATTAATTTGAATAGATGATGAAAAAGACGATTTTCATCTTCTTTATCCAAATCATGTAATGGTTGTCCATTACGAATCGGTGCATCTGGATCCATTTCTTGACATAAAATTCTTGAATTTTTTCCCGTTCCTAATGAAGCTGCTGTCATAAACATACTACTACGTTGTTGTTGTTGTTGTTTTGACGAAATTTTTAATTGATGTAATGTATTCTCCCAATATGCTGGACCATCAGAATAGAAATCCATTTTTTCCATTGATTTTTCCTCTTCATCTTCATACATTGATTCAAGCCAATCGATTATGATTTGCATTTCACGTAACATTGAATTTTTTTCCATAGCACGTTCAACTAATTCCGAATCATTTAAACGTAATCGCATATCTTCTTCAATTTCCATTTCCATATCCATTATTGATTGATTATTTAGTTCACCAAAACCTGAATTATTATTAGCTGCAGCCAAAAGATTTCGTTGATGATTATTGTTGGTAATCATTGTAGCGGTACAACGATCACCAAGTAATACTTTTAATAGACACCAAATATTACGTTCCAAACGTATTAATTGACAGAATTTATTCAGATAATTTAATTGATATTCTGAATGTTGATTTTTATTCTCTAACAATCGTTGTGTAACCAATAGATTATCATCACAAGTTTGTTGAAATAAATCCATCATTGTAAATACATTGGTAGTAGAATGTTGTGATGGTGAATGCTGTAAATCTAATGGTGGTAAATATTTTTGATTTAATTCAAAAAATGATTCAAATATAGCTAAACGAGCCATTTCATCTTCGGTAATATGTTGATCATCTAAATTATTCTGTGAATATTGTATGGTTGCATTTGATGATGATATATTTATCAATTTACTAGTAGATATTGGTGATTGTATTGTTATATTCATAGATTGATGATGTAAATCGGCAGATATGTTTGATTGAGACAATGTTGGTGATTCATCGATAGCAGCAAATGATGCTGAAGAATTATTACCACCAAACAAAGTACGAGATCGATCTATAACGACAAATGAATGAATTATTAAAAAACAATCATAGATAATCTTAATGAAACATACCGGCAAGTTTTGAAAAACGTGAAAAATTTCGTTGATAAGCAATCGGTGAATCCATTGCTAATGAATCAAATAATGAATAATTCATCGATTGACGATCATTATTAAAACTTGATGATTGTGACATTTTTTTCTTCTATTTGGTTTCGTTTCCTTCAAATTTCCAGTCAAATCAAATGAAATTTTTAAAAAAATGAAAAATGAAAAAAAAATCTTCAACCGTCTGTGACATATACAACATGTGATCCAACGTGATTGATGAGCGGGATTATATCACAAAATGATAATGTTGATCAACGCCATCTATTAGTTAAATTTTGAAAATTTTACAACTTAATTAAAAGCTAATTATAAAATCAATTGATTACAATCAACATTATGTAATAGGAATTTTTACTCTTTTTTTTTTGTTGAATGAAATATGAAAATTCAGGATTTTTGATCTGTTATTCCGTGTATTCATCATTATAAGGAATTCCGACGAACATTATAATCAATTGAAAATGGTGAAAGATTGCAACAACAACAGCAAAAACAAAACAGAAAATCATTTCCATAGAATCAATTAGTTTTTTATTAATTAATTTATAATTAATAATATTTAGTGCATTTTTTTCCTAATTATCATTAATTAGGAGGAGGTGGTTTTGTTTTTGTTGTTTGTTTTTATATCAATTCTAATTCTGTTTTGTTGTTTGTTTTGAAATGGAAATAGAAATTGTTAAGTTCAGATTTATCTACACGAGCAATAAAAATTCCTATTTCGACAGTATCGATCAATTCCGGTTTATCTTGGGTTGTTTGACGGTAAATAAACCCTTATTTTGTTTGTTTGTTTGTTTATCTGTCCAAATCCATCAAACCAAAATGAGACGATTACCAAACAAACCAGGCCATGGTAATGTAATCAAATTTTCGTTTCCCGAATAGCCAAAAAAATAAATAGCCAAAACGGATGTGCGAGCGAACGAATGACAATAATATTTGATAAGAAATTTGATATTCAATTTCATTTTAACAACAACAAAAACAACAACAAAAAGTAAATAATGAAATATATGCCATGAATAATGTAATAATGTTTTCAAAAGTTGTTGAGAAGAAAAAAAAACGATGCCTAAAAGCAATTACATAATGATGATGATGATGAATATCCGAATTGTATTTTAATTTAAATTTCAAATGACATTCTTTCAATTCAATCCAAAAAGAATTATTCAAAATATTCTTCTTCTTCTTCTTTGTTCAATTGTATCGAACAACTACTACAGGAGAATCAGGTGAAACAAGAATGATTACAAAGAAAAAAATGATGAATTTAAAAAAAAAAAATATATGTTCCAAATCCCATTCAGCCCCGTGAAAATACCAACACACAATGGAAACATTATAAAGAATTTTGTTTAGTTTAGTAAATTTTGTTTTCGGTGGAAAATAATGGTTTTCCTTTCATTCATTTGAATTCTTTTCTTTTCTTTTTTGTTTGAATTTGAATGAAAAAAACCATTAGTGAATTAATTTTTTTTTCAAAAAAAAACATGAATATTTTTTTACCTAATGATTAGAGGAAAAACATAATAATAATCGATCTAAATTGAAAAAAAAGGTCGGTTCGTTGGAAAAAAAAGATTGGAAATTTTAAAATTCATATAGTTTGCGTGTGTGTATGTCATTCGTTTACTTTTTTCGGGTTGTTTTTTTTATCAATTTGCCAACCCTGAAAAAAAGATGTAAATGTTTAACATGGAAATTTTTTTTTCTTTTTGGATTTTGATTTTGCAAATGAATTATCATTATTATGATCATCATTAATAATTGGGTGAAGTAAAGGTTTTTACTGGAAATTCAGAGGGAAAAACGGAAATAAATTCAGATTTTCATTTTTGTTTTTGGCTAATAACCATGATGATTATGGTGACAATATCAACAACGACAACAACAATAAAGATTTTTTTTTTTTGAAACATTATTTATTGACGATAATGGATGGATGGATAATTATCATTAAAATATGGATAATGTTAATGAAATAAATCAAAAAAAAACAAGACAAAAAACAAACAAACATTCAACTTAGATATGAAGTGAGTTGAAAAACCAAAAGAATATTCTTCAAAAAAGGAACACGTCATTTATGAACGGCATTAATTTAATGGTGTTCGAAATTTTATTTTTTTGGATTCTTTTTTTTTCAAACAAAAATTTTTTATTAATTTTTAAAGAATTATTATCGAGAGAAAAAAATGAAGAAGAAATTTCAAAAGAATCAAATAAAAAGGAGACAATGATAAACTGATAATAATGACGACGACGACGACAACGACGACGATGATGATGGTTTTGATTTTTTCTGGTTTGTTTTGTTTTGTTTGGTGGGATGATAATTTTTTGTGATTTTTTTTTTCTTTGATCAAAATTTCAGATTAATCATGTGCAATATTGATCGATCGAATCGATATAAAAATCGATTGCTTCATATTTATAGATTTCATCGATAATAATAATAATAATTATTTACCAGGATTACGTCCACCTGGTCGTAGAAAATCTTGTCCTAAACTTTCACCACCAAGAAATGAATTTTCACAATCACCACCGGGTAAACCGCTTATACATTCCATTCGTTTGATAATTAAACGATCATTATTAACTAATGGCCTTTCTTGATTTCCATTACCATTTATCGATGATGATGATGTAATTCGATGCGGAACTCTATGAAACAAAAACAAAAAATCAATTAGAAATTTGATAATTAATAAATTATCTTTCATAAATCGATAAATAATATAGATAAGAAAACATTGCATGCATCATTTGCAGTAATAAATTATGCAACTAAATCAAGAAAAAACTAAACGAAACGATAAAAAAATCAATTCATCAAACCACAACAAGGATGGTAAAAATGGGGAAATCATTCATTCGAGATCAGGCAATTTGAAAAAAAACGTGAAAAAAATGAAAAGAAAACCATGACAGCATCACAGATAAATTTGAAATTTTTTTTTCGGGTGCAAACAACTAAATTTGGTTTTTAGGAAAAATTCATTCGTGAAAATTTTGAGTGCAGTAATTCTGGTCATTGATCAAATTGGATTCGAAATTCGATCATCATCATCATCTTTGAAATTTAAATGAAATTTCGAAATCATGCCTGCTATTTGGAATATTTACTCGATATTTTTTATCAAATCATCATTATCGATTAATAATTTTGATGATGGTTGTTGTTGTTGTTGTTGTTCCGAAAACCATGTATTATATGATAATGATGATGATGGATTATTTGATAATGATGATAACAATCGATTGTTTATTGGTAAAAATCGATATGTTGTTGAAGATTCACTATTACGTTTTTTCCCGGGTGATGCTTGTGATTCCCAAATACGACGAGCATTCGATGCTGAAATAAAATCACGAAAATCGCAATTATTCGATAGGCCAGCATTGATCAAACATGAACGTTTTCTATTGTTTAGTTGTTTTTTGTTGATGATTTTTACAATTATATGAAAATATCGATTATATCGATTATTGTAGGATGGAAGGGTTTGTCAATTTGATAAACATTGAAAACAAAAAACGAAAAACGATTGTCCATCAAATGGATTCAAAGAGAGGAAAATAGAAAATTTTAAATAAAATATTGAAAAAAAAGCCTTCGATATTTATGTTGAACATAAGAAAATTGATTGATTTTCGACTTACCGGCTAATATATCCATTACCATTATCATCAAAATTACCACCGATACCTTTACCACCACCATGTATTAACATAATCGGCTGTAACATGAATAAACGATCTTTAATATTATTAAAAAATTGATCATCAATTAATTGTTGTTGTTGTGGATGATGTTTTTGTTGTTGATTTGAAAATAAATTTGTTGTCGATGTTGTTGTTGTTGGTGATGATGATTGTTGTAATAATCTTAAACGATAACTTAATATATTGATCAATGAGTTTTATTTGTTTTTTATATTAAATAAAAAGAGAGAAAAAAAAGGAAACTTACTTTGAATTACGAATCGATGATGATGATGATCGTTGTGGTTGGTCATCCATTTCGGATGAAGATGATGATGATGAAGAAATTGAAGCAGAAATCGTTCCAATCAAACTGGCCATCATTATAATGTTGGCTAACCAAATGAATGTCATTTGATAGCGATATTTTCGATTATTATTTTCAAACATTTTTATTTTATTTTTTTAAATTTAAAATTTCTAATTAAAGAATCAATTAAGAAAAAATACCCAGGTAAAACAATTTTAGATTCTTTTTGCTTGAATCTCTTGGGTGTTTGAATGAGTGTTTTTTGTGTGTGTGGTAGAGAATTTTGTTCACATATTTTGTTTGAAAATTCTTCTTTTTTTGAAGAAAAAATGAAAAATGTTTTTTCGTTTTTATATGAAAAAAATGGATTAGGAATTTTACGTACAACCGGATCGAACGAAAAAAGAATCCATCATAACCGCACATGCGTAAATCGAATGTTCATGTTTTTCGAATGTTTTTTTTGTTGCAAGATTCGAATTACCGAAAAATAAAACCTAAACAAGGTGGTGTCCATTGACAACTGATGATAAACTGATATTATGGCTTGTTTGTTTGATGAAAATGAAAAAGAAAAAAATTCAATCAATCGATGAATTGATGATAATCAACAATAACTTGAATAATACAAGATGTCAAGAATCTGTTGTCGAACCAGAAAAAAAATTTACTTGAAAAATCATCAAAATACGTCAATCATTTTATTATCATCATGTTGATGATATATAATGGTAACACTTTCTCTCTCTCACTCTCGAATATCAATCAACCATCTGTTGTGATCATTATGATGATGATGATGATAATAATATTGGAAAATTGAAAAATTTCGGTTTTTTTTTATTATTATTGCTAAATCATACTGTGTGTATATATCATATTTACAATACAACATCTCATCATGCTGTTTTAGTGACGTTATTTATTTGAATTTTTGTTGCTCCTATTCAACCCTTTATTTTTCTCGGTTATTATTTATTGATGATGAAGAATGAAAAAAAAAATTCCAATTTACAGATTCGAATGTGATTTGTAAAAGAAGAATTTAACAAATTTTTTTCTTCTCCTCACCATTATTATTATGTCAAATTGGCAAATTATTTTTAAAGTTGATGTCATCATTATCGGGAAAAAATAATAATTCCAGAATAAAGATCAAATTGAAAAACTTTTCCATCAGAAAAATTTTTCAATTTGATTACCAGTTATAAATGATTTACAAGCAGGAAAAAAAATTTTGTAAAAAATATTGTAAATTGAAAATTCTTTGGAAAATTTTAAAATTGGCAACAAACAAAACGAACGAATATCATTCATGAATCAAAATAATGAGCAAAATCAATCACAATCAAGAATTTCCAATTAACCGATAATTACTAATGGATTTTTTTTCCTCCTTCAAAATTTCGTAATTATCGATCGATTGATTGATTAGCGTCTTTTTGGTTCACTAATGACGACATTATCCATATCGGATGTAACCAACCAACATACTTGGTGGGGAATTGCACTTGAATTCAACGGAAACAACAGCAGAAGAAATAAAAGATGATTCTTACAAAAAGTATCCTGATCATGATTTTTTTTCCTTCTTCAATGTTTATTCAAAATTTTATAACAACAACGACAACAACAACAACCAGATGAAAATGAAAAGTTAACACAAACAAAATTGATCAATGATTTTTTATTATATTCCAAAATTACTGATTGCATTTTATTATCCATCGATCCATTGCAATTCAAACACGACAGAATGGTTTCATCTTCAATGATTCATGATTTTTGGATGATGAAACCATTATTGATTTAATCATTATTATTGGCCCGTTTTTTTTTGTTGATTACTTTGCTGTTGCTGTCATCATCATGATCATCATTCCATCGAGACAAAATTGATACAATAAATTTTGTTTCTTTTTTTTTTAATTATAAAATATCGATATTGGATCAATAAAACTTGAAATTTATTCATCATCCGATTTACGAGGAAAAGAAAAATGGAAAAGGTGGCAATATTTTTTTTTTATTATCATCATCATCATCATCATCATCAAATGATTGTGAATCGAATCGGTTGTTGATGATGATTTAGTTTTGGTGGAATGAAAAATATTTTTTTTTAACAAAACCATCTTTTGATAGATAGATTTCAAATGAATTGGATTTGTTTTTTTGAATGCAAAATTGCTTTCGGGAAAATTTTCAAAACACAAATTTTTTTTGTTTCTTTTTATCAAATGTTTTTGGATGGCAAAATTTCCGAAAAACATTCCCGAAAAAATCTTTTTTTTTGTTTCAAAATTTTGAATTTTTTTTTTTTTTTTTTTTTAAAAAAACTTTTCCCCCTTTTGGGCTTTTTTAAAAATTCG